GTAATCCATAAATGGAATTCACATCCACTCCTTGAGTAATCAGGGCATGCAGAATATCCACTTGCCTGGGACAATTTGGACTGTCTCCAAGATCAATTAAAAACATCATATAGAGTGTAAAGCTATAGGCCTGTTCTCCTCCACCTGTGTTACAAACTTTTTTTGCAGTTTTGTGCCTGCATATTTGATGCTATCTATCTGCGCTTGAGTCATTTCAAATATGTGAGTTGAAATCGCCTATTTTTTTATTTCAGACTTCTATGTCTCACACCGCTGTAATGCACAGACTTCTTTAAACAAAGTTAATTTCTCAGTTAATCAACTGATCAAGCTATATAAACAGCGTAAAATTTTCTCTATATAATGTCACCTTATTCAAAGGCAAATGCAAAAATTGCTATTAAAACTGACATAATACAAAGGAAAAAGAAAAAAGAAATAATTGAAAAAAAATTTAGAAGTATAAATGAACAAAATTGAACAGTGAGTAGAATTCAAAATATCTACACGCTAAGTCTGGACAAGCAAAAGCTTTGCCTAATCAAAACAAAAAAAAATGTAGTTCAAATTATTGACTTGCGCTTTCCAGTCTGCTTTGTCCTTTTTGTCAAAAAGCAGTGGCCGTCAAGTAGATTATTGTTTACTGATACTGACTCACTCGTTTATGAAATCGTATGTGAGGACGTCTATCAGGATATCTTTGATAACCGACATCTGTTTGATCTCCAATTACCCTCGCAATAGTAAATTTCATGATGACACAAACAAAAATGTTATTGGTAAATTCAACGATGAGATGAACTCAAGCGTTATCAAATACTTTATTGGATTACGAAGAAAATGTGCGCCGTGTTGTTAGACAATAATAAAAATATTATAAAGCAAAAGGTTTGCCTCGTGATTTTGTTAAAACGTGTATGGAATTTGATGATTGCAAGTACGCGTTTGAAGGCGACATTAGTTATATAAGATCAATGAATATTCGAATAAATGATAAAGAACATGAAGCAGATGTTATCATCAAACGTGAGTTAAGTAATTTTGATGACAAATGTTATTGCGAAAATGGTGTAGATACATTTGCACTTTGGTACAGTCGCGATGACACATTTATACTTCACATTATATTTGATAACTAGGGCATGAAATTTTATCTAAACTTTAAAAATAAATGTTTGGAAATTTGACAGTGACAAATAGCACTAATAGCCAATTCAAATATCTAACGATAGACGGACAAAAGTTGACAATTTAAATTAGTCAAGAAAAGTATACTAAAATTACCATTGATCTCGGTCGTTCGAAAGTATATTTCATTGATAAAAAATATGCTCTTAACAAACTACAAATACAAGATTTATTCGAATGTCGTCGTTGCGTAAGCGGTAGAATAAAGTTCAGTCTTTATTATCACCATTATGAAATATTTATAATATCTATAGTTGAAACAATTATGGTGAGCGATGAAATTTATAATACTACCTAGAAACCCAGTTGGTCGACTAAACCAAATTCGATAATGTGAAACCGCCTAGGGTCTTTGAGCTAGAAACCTTCTAAAGCAATAGTGTCTCTGAGCTATAAACCTTATAAATTTTCTATCTAAACTTGGGCATATCTAAGCGATGGCGGGAAAGGGTCTCTGGCTAATCTGTGAAAAAAAATATAATTGTATTTGAGTTAGAAACCGCGTCATTGTTTTCGATGAAACATTTCTGGGTAATATTTTGAGGGTTTTTGGATAGGAAATTTTATTTGTTTAGAGGTGGGCTACGGACTTTGTGCCAGAAAATCCATATTCTCTTACTACCTGTATCATAAAGCCATCTTAAAGTAATTATAATACAATTATATATATATATATATATATATATATATATATATATATATATATATATATATATATATATATATATATATATATATATATATATATATATATATATATATATATTAGATGTAGGTTTCGCATTATTAAAATTTCCTACTAGATTGCATTGTTTCGCATTGCATTTCAGTAGATGTACATAGCTGTTTCATTTATGTCTATTCACCTGCACATGAGCTACTCTTTGGCAATGAAACAATATAAGTGATTCTACAAACTGAGGTACACATTTAATTGTACAAGGTATATAACCAGCATATATTAACGTAACTGTTGTATTTTCATGAAGGAATGATACTAAAAAAGGATAAAATTCTGAATATAGACTGACTAAGATCATCATCAGGCTGTTTTAATTTTGTGTTTTGACTGAACAAAATTGTAATTTTCCATACATTGGATAGCTGGTTGTTTCGTAATCAACTTTATTTATGATTGATAGATATGACTTTTGGTTCCAACAGCAATCCAGGCAAGTTCATCATTAAAACCTTGAAACTTGCTTGGGTTAAGAAAGAATTTTATCCAGCAGCTATGCCAGTACTTTCACGTGTAATTGCGGTTTATTTTATAATATTAGTACAATTACTGTAGATGTTTAAAATGGGGTGTAAGGCTGATTACATGAAAGCAAAGTACAACTGTTGTATAGTATTACAATATATCTGAAACTTCAGTTTTGTATTTTAGGGACAATGTTTAAGTTTAGTGCTTTTGTGCCTGTGATTTGAGTCATGCTAAAAACTATAAAATTGGTACTGGCAGCTGCTTCGCTTGGCGCATAGAATTAAGAGATTTGTGTTATGTCTGGTCGACCTAGTTTCAGGATAGTGTGATTAGGTCATGTCTGCAGCATGGTGCTCATTGTTAGACATCACTATAAACTGTCACACTACAGAAATAATAGCGATATGACTGAATATGTTAAAGTTATGTTCAAAATCCAAATCACACACATGTGGTGGTGTAATTATCTGAATATGTTCATTAACATAAATGTGAGCGATGAAGCAAACCCTATTGTTGTTTGTAGCTGTCCTACTAGGATCACAATTTAAAGAGTTAGGCATTTGGAAATTCAAGGCAAAATAAAGACATAATTACTTATGAAATGATAAAAAATATAATGCATTAATGCATAAGCAAACAATAATTATTCCGTGTCAGAAGAGAGAGGTCATCGTCGTTTTTGCAGTCTGTCGGTGGGTCGACGATGACTGTCCACTAGCGTAGGTCTCGCTGAGATATATCTCCTCCACTCCTCTCAATCTTGAGCCAGAGGCTTCCATTTCCTGGTGTCGATTTGTCTAATTTTCCATATTTTTCTTAGCTACATCCTTGAATCTTCGCTATGGTCTTCCTTCATTTGTTTCTTTCCTCAGTTAAGAGTACATAAGTTGACTCGGGAGTTACCCATCATCCATCCTATGGGTCATGTTCGGCCAACTTATTAGCTATGTTGTAAATAGCCTTTTTTGTTATTAATTTCCATCGTGAGAATCTGACTATTAGATAGGGCTATTCTAGGCTACTTGCTAAGTGGCATTTCTTTTATTGCGCTGTTCACATTAGTGATCACGTAGCTCCGTCACGTCAGTCATCATGTGATCTACAATCGCATGTTAAAACAGGCAATTTGTAGAGATTTTGTCAGTCGTAAAATAATATTTTCGGAGGTCAGGGGTATTTTGTGTTGTTGCCATTTGAGTTGATTTTCGTATTTACAATAATGTATTCGCAATGAAAAATACTTGTGTTTACAAATACTTTTGGATAAAGACATTCATTGGAAATTATTTGGAATTGTAAAGTAGGAATATTATTCTTGTTTACTAAAATTCAACGAAGAACTGTTGACACGTCATTACAATACTGAGTTTATCTGACATCATCGTCCTTCATATTAGAACTTTATTGGGATTCGACCCTTTATTCCTTTAGGACATTTTAGTGATATGACTTATATTTATAAATTATATTATTAATGTTTGGATTATATTCACAAAGTGTAAGTCCTTTTTCATATTTTACTGTGTCTTCTAGGGTAATAAATTATTTTTGTTAAAATTTTCAAAGCTTGTTGGCTTCACTTTTTTCTTTGTTACTTTTGAACGAGCCTATACGTAGCAATACACACACACGCACTGAACTATCAATACAAACCAAGGACACATTATTGACGAAGACTGTGGACATTCGTTAGCCATCAACAATGAAGACGCGTTTGCACATTTAAGCCTGAAATATCAAAACAACTAAGGACGCACAATATTGGCTAAACACGGAGACCAAGTACGCTGGAACCTTATGAACAACGATGGCGTCTAGTCTCTAAATTCACTACAAACTAAGGACGCACACTACTGATAAAAATTATAGAGACTGAACATTCATACCTCATGAGCAACGATGTACACATTTAATCTAGTCTTTATAATCAATCCAAATTAAAGACGCAAACTATTGACTAAACCAAGGAAAGAGTGGATATTGATACATCATGGACAACGAAGACGTGTTTACACATCTAATTTGAACTATCAGTACAAACCAAGGATATAAGCTGTTGACTTCATGGACAACGAAAACCTATTTGCACATATACTCTCAACTATTAGCAGCAACTAATGACACACACTATTGGCAATATTACGGAGGCCGTGGGCATTGGCATCTCATGAATAACGACGACTCATTTACACATGCAGCTGAATTATCAGTACAAACTAAGGACCCGCACTATTGATAAAACCACGAAGACCATGGACATTGGTAGCTCATCAAACACTAAGACGCATTCAGACATCTAATTTGAGCTATCAATACCAACGAAAGACGCAAACATCTATTCTGAGCTATCAATACAAACGAAAGACGCAAACATCTATTCTGAGCTATTATTACAACGAAAGACTCACACTATAGACAAATCACAGAGGCTATTGACAATGTTACGTCATGGACAACGAAACGCATTTACACATCTAGTCTGAACTATAATTACAAAGTACGTATACTATTGACAAAATCACAAAGACAGTGGACATTGGTACATTATGACCAACAAGGACATGTTTTCATATCTAGTCCAGTCTTTACAATCAATACTACCCATCTGGTGGCTTAATGGTTGGAGCGTCCGCCTCGGATGCGGGCGGTCGCTGATTCGAACCAAGGCTAAGTCATACCAAAGACATAAAAATGGTACATAATAGCTGCTTCTCTATTAAAAGGTTAGTGTTAGGACTGGTTAGAATAATTTGACTGGGTGGAACATGATGCTACATGTCTGCAGCATGATGCCGCAGTGCTATACATCACTATAAGCTACCACACTGCAGACGTGGTAGCGAAATGACTGAAAAATTGTTAAAGCTATATTAAAAATCCAAATCACAAACACACATTTTGACCAATCAATACAAATTAAGGATGCACACTGACAAAATTAAGGAATGTATGGACATTGATAGGTCAATGTAAAACTAATGCATATTTACATATTTAGTCTTACATGTCAATAGAAAGTAGACTCTTGACAAAATCTCGGAGAAAGTGGAAATTGGTACCTAATGAACAATGATGACTCGTTATACATGTAGCCTGAAATATCAATACAAACTAAGGACGCTTACTATTGACAATATCATGGAGACTGGACATAGTAGCTCAACAAACTAAGGACGCACACTACTGACAAAATCACAGAGATCGTGGATATTGGTACACTATGACCAACGAGGACATATTCACTTATCTAGTCCAGTCTTAACAATTCATACAAATTACGGACGCAAACTAATGACAAAAACAAAGAGAGTGTGGACATTAATAAGTCATTTATTCATCTAGTCTGAACTATCAATGCAAACTAAGGTTGCACACTATTCACAAAATAACGGACACCGTTGACACTGGTACATCAATACCAACTATGACATGTTTGCACATCTCCTCAAGTCTTGGCAATCAGTTCAAATTAAGGATGCACACTACTGACAAAATCAAAGAGACTGTAGACATTGGTACATTAGGACCAACGGGGACATGTTTACACATATGGTCTTGGCTAAAGAATCAATACAAATTAAAGACGCACACTGTTGACAAAATCAAGGAGACTGTCGACATTGATGCGTCATGGACAACGAAGATGTATTTGCACATCCAGTCTGAACTATTAAGACAAACCCCGGTGGCACACTATTGGCAATATCTTGGAGACCGTGGACACTGGTACTTCATGAACAACGAAGATGCATTTACACAACTAGTCTTACTATCATTAGAAACTAAGGGCGCACATAAATGACAGCATCACAAAGGCAGTAGATATTGGTAGATCATGGCAAACGAGAACATTTTTATTTTAAAATGATTCAAATTTAGGAAATGCTACCATCGATGGAGATACACCATTGTGCCACTAATATTTATTTTCGATTTTCGGAAATTTGTGTGCTCTAATTTTATGATTTAGTCTTTTAAAATCATATATAATTAAGTTCCAAATATCTGCATGAGTTTAAATTTTACGGATCTCTGATCCCATTTCTAAAATGGCGAAATATATAGTGCCATGAAATTTACCTTTAAATGGAATTTTTTGAAGTCAGGAAATTATGAAAAGGAAATTTAGTATTTTAAATGAGATTTAAAAAAATAAAAATACAGATTTTTCCCAACTTATTTATTTAAATTGTCTGAAAAACGAAATAATGCTGAAGTCAATTTTCCAAGGTTGGTTTGTGTAGCCTAAAATTACGTGTGATGTTTTGGATTTTAACATATGGTCTCTTTGGATTTGCATACATTAAAAGGTTGAGAACTAACAAATGCATGAACTACGAGTTGTATGGATTGATCGCTAACGGACAGATAGGTAATGTAATACCATGTGCCAAATGTGTATTTGTCTAAAAGGGATAAACAGAAAAAAACTGGAATAAATATCGTATCTATCTCAGAGATGTAGGAACACAAACAAATAAGAATTCTAGCTTCCTAATTTATGAAAGACTTTTTTCATCAAAGCGACAATAAATTAGTACTATCCAACTGGACTTTACCTATACAACAAACGACACAGCCTTAATCTCTCTCTCTCTCTCTCTCTCTCTCTCTCTCTCTCTCTCTCTCTCTCTCTCTCTCTCTCTCTCTCTCTCTCTCTCTCTCTCTCTCTCTCTCTCTCTCTTCGTTTCATGTCTTCTCTCTGCCTGCGTGAAAGTCATTAGAGATGTGTGAAAGATGCTTTCCATGATATATATGTTGAGTCTAATGAGCATGATATATGTGTACGTTTTAAAAACTCATAATTGTCAATATTATTTTTACCTTAGTGAGCCTCGGTTCACTATATATTTAGTCGTATACACTAGATGCCTTTGGATTAATTAACTCACAATCATTCAATAGTTGCCGATTCTTTTATGTTTAACATATTTGGAAGGAAGCAATGTCTCTCACCTCGCATTGACGACGGAACTAAAGAGGTACAGCTTCTAATGTTTTGTTAAAAGTAGTAGCAATAATCATATTTTAATTTAAAAAAAATAATTACATTTATTGTTTGACCATAAACAATAGTAAAAGGAAACATCACATACACAATGTTTCCTTGACCATAGCAAGCCGAGTTTGGTATACAAAATATGTAAGTTTACAAAGCAGCTGAACACCAATTAATCCATCCATCAGGGCATTGGCCGCAATAAATCTTGTATTCAAAACAAAATATCAGCACAAAAAGGAATACTCAAGCTCTGACTTGCCTTTCGCTGAACTGAAATAACATTAGCAGATAACGATAATTTAGATTCAAATAGAAATAAAGAAATGGATGCATAACAGCAGATAATCACCCTCTGATATGAATGTGCAATAATAGCCAATTTTAATCTGCTGTGGATGTTTAAAAACAGCCAACCTCCCTCTGATATATGTGTATACCAACAGCCAATATCCCTCTGATATCGGTTTATAGAAACAGCCAGTCTCCTCTGATATCGGTGTATAACAACAGTCAATATCATTCTGATATGGATGCTTAATAAAATCTACCTCTGTTATCAATGTCTGCAACAGCCAATCACCCATCGACAAAGATGTTTAACAACAACGTATCTCCCTTTGATATTGATGAGTAACAAGAAGCTGCCACCGATATGGTTTATAACAACAGAAAGTCTCCCTCTGACATACATGTCTGACAACTGCCGACCTCCCACTGATACGGATGCCTAACAGCTGCCAGACTCCCTTTAATACTGATGTATTACAAAAATCCCCATCTGATATGGATGAATAGCAACAGCTAATCACCATATGATATGTATGTTTAACAGCTAATCGCCAACTAATATGGACATATAACATAAACCTCCCTTTGATATGGATGTCAAGCAATTCTCAATCCCCATCTGATGTGCATGTATAAGAACAGACTGCTTCCTTTTTATATTGATGTAGTTTAACTGTCAATCTCCCTATTCTATAAAAATAACGTTCAGAAGCAAACTACATAGATAAGCACACTGTATGTGTATGTGAGAGAGAGAGGAGGAGGAGGAGAGAGAGAGAAGGAAGAGGGCTTAGAAAGAGATTTTGAAGATCAAACATGCTACGAAACAGAACATCTATGTGGAGAACTGTAGACTGTATTGCAGTTATACACGGAATACATATTTATTAACAAAGATTATTTCCACAAAAAGATGACCTACATAGTTCAAGCTTAGCACACTTGGTCCACTTGAGAATTGGACTAAATCTTGCCGACACCTTATATATGTTAACATTCCTATGGATAGTTGCAAACCTATCTGACTGTGTAGCTTGAACTGTTTCTTTAAATATATATATATATATATATATATATATATATATATATATATATATATATATATATATATATATATATATATATATATATATATATATATATATGCAATTGTTAATGCCTTGAAGGCGATACATATATAAACCTGAATTAGTTTAAAATGAACAGTTCATTTCTCTAAATTAGGAACGATTTGTTCCACTTTTGTATTTGTTGAGAGATAAATCATTCAATATAGATGCGTGAGATCACAATGAGAATGTGCCTACAATTCTCTAAGGATGAACGTCCTCAGTGTTTTCTTTTTCAAATCTATGGAGCAAATGAAACCAAGTGTATCAATGAGTTCCCGTATTTGGTTAGGTATGTCCTCGAATCCCCTGAGTATATCGCTCATACAAAATCAGCAAATCGAAGATTGTTTTTTATGCACGCTGTCTTACTCTAGGTATGTTCATGTTTAAATTATTATCAAGGAATAAAGTTTACGCTTACTTCAGCAGCGCTGTTAAAACAACCCTAAAAAATTACAGGTTCATTCGGTATATAGAACACCTGCACATATGACGAGATAAGTCAAGGAGGTACCTATTCAAATCTGTATATCAACGCTCTGATCTATTTCTAACTTTCATATCAACAATTCTCTCATACCACGTATCTCGTCTTTTTCTAATGCAGAAGTACATGCTGATGTGCATGATTATTCTATAACTTAAGTTGATCCCCTGGGGAAGTGATCTTTAAAATCTTTAAAATTGTAAAAGTAGTTACAAATTTTGAAATTTTAGATGTGCGATTTGATTTGGAATAACAGATTGAATACCTGTATCGTATTCCGTATCAACTGTGCAAATTAAAATGGGTATGCAATATGAATGTATATTATAAAGTTTCGTGTCAATGCAGAGACGAAACTTCAGTTGTGTCTATTAATGTATAGATTTCAGAGGTGTAAAAATGCAACCTGGATATATGGTATTGCAAATATAGTAAACAACACATTGTTCTAGCAAATTGATATGATTTATGCACTTTTTTGAGAAGAAAAGAAACCAAGCTCTGCTTGTACTGTTTATCTTTTTTTTTACAAGAGCTATCTGTGTTTTGAAAATAAAAATACAGTAGTCATTCTAATACAGGGTGAAGCCTTTTCTTCATGGGACTAATAATATACTGTTTTAAATTTTTAGACATACCATCATGCATATATATATTTTGTTTATATATATATATATATATATATATATATATATATATATATATATATATATATATATATATATATATATATATATATATATATATATATATATATATATGTGTATATATATATATATATATATA